TCTAAAAATAAAACCCACTCTGGATCAAATTTGTCCCTTTTAGATCAAATTTCATGCAGTGAAAACCTTCTCAGAGGGCGGCCATCTTCACCTGCTTAGTTCTGTTTGTTGTTCAGTGAGTTGTTTGACATCATGAATTAAAGATGCTCATAAAGTCTTCATGACCCCTGCGGCGGTCCCTCAGGCCTGAAGACCATCGTCGGGGCTCTGATCCAGTCGGTGAAGAAGCTGGCCGACGTGATGATCCTCACGGTCTTCTGCCTGAGCGTCTTCGCCCTCATCGGCCTGCAGCTGTTCATGGGGAACCTGCGTCAGAAATGCGTCCGCAGCACAGAGCACTGCTTCAACGGCAGCCTGCCGGCCAACGCCTCCTTCTTCTGCAATAACAAGACCTGGGCCTCCTTAAAGGACTTCATCGAGGACGAAGGTGAGCCTCAAGCTTTTCCTTCTCGCTGCACGCCTGCTTTAGTGTTTTAGTTTTATAAATCTGAGGATTTAAACTGAAATCTCTGGCTGAAGGATCTCAGTCATGGAGATTAAAACATCTGACCACCTGTCTATATATGTCTATATATATGAAATGAACAGATGATTTTTAAGGTGGCATCTCCAACTTTTCCTTAAACATAGAAGCAGCTGCTGGTTAATATTCACTGAGTGCTGCTGTAGCGACTTTATATGCAGTGAAATGCGACCACCAATCAGATGTCTCAGAGCTGCAGATCTGATGATGTCACATCGAGAGGCGGGACATGAGAGAGGAACAAAAACACGGACCGAAAACGCTCTGAACACAGTTAGCACTGTTAGCTTTAGCTAAAGGAAATTAGCAGAAAGGGGGAAATAATGGACGTTATTGGTGGGGACATGTCCTCACCTGTCACCTGCCGTGTTTCTTGTTCTGACCTTTGACCTCTAACCCAGCTCTCTGGTCATTGGTCGTCTGCTTTTCTTAGATCGTAGCTGGTTCCTTTCATTGCTGCTGTTGTTAGCTCCAAGTTGGCGTTTCGTTTCTGACTCTATAGATGATCAGCTGAAATAAAAACGTCTCCAGGATTCAAACTTTGACGCTGAATATTCTTCTTCTGATAAAGTTTCCAGTAAAGGTGAACATCAGGACATGCTTCACTAATCTTCCCTGTGAACCTTCGTCCCCTGTTTGCTTCAGCATGCATCACTACTTATAAACGTTCCCTGCGGGCTGCCGTATCGACCCCTAAAAGCTGCTGTGAAACCGGAGAGGCGGGGGCCCCCCCGGGGGCTGACCTGAAGGCGATGCAACACGTTCTCTCCCCATCAGGCGTCGCTTGCTGAAGGAAGGCAGAGGTTGCTGTTCTGTTTGGGCAGAAGGTTGCAGGTTGGTCCCTCCAGGCAGGAGAGCGGAACCCGATTAACCGGCCCTCAGGTGGGGGTCCGGCAGCCTCCCTCTGATTGATGAAGACTCCTGGTTAACTGATTATTGGTTGACTGATACCTCTCTGCTGCGGCTGAGCAGAGCGACGTGCCTCTGGATAACGACTCCGCTCCATAACTCTTCCTGCTGTGTCTGTCAAAGCTGCAGATTTTTTCCTCCTGTAAATTTATCTTGCGCTGATGAAAACGCTGCAGCAGCGGACGGAGGCTCATTCATCCCTGACAGGGTAATTTGCTGCTCTTGAGTTTTTAAAGAGAAATGAAATTAGGCCGTCTCCTTCAGGTGTCCCGTAGAGACAATTTTCTACATTTCTGCAGCTCTGTTAAAATCCTCCCAGACGGTGGTCTGTTTGGAAGGAAGACCAGGCTTTTTATTAAATGTCAGAGCGCCAGCTAATGCGCATTTACCTGCATGTTGAACATCAGCTAATGCCATCAGGAGGAGGAGCTCCTCTGGGAATAAACCTGAGAGAGGAAGAAGGCTGAGACGAAACGTACCGAAGCTCGTT